ATGGTACCTTAAAGTGGTCTGTTTTTCATTAAATATTGGCTCTGTATTCACATTGAGCTCTCAGGATTTCATCCTCCTTGGAATTACCCATTAGGTTTACCAAGTTCTTCGTAACTATATATATATATATATATATATATATATATATATATATATATATATATATATATATATATAGGAATGCAAGTCTGAATATTTTATAAGTATTAACAGGTTACAAAATAATGTTAATGATGCTCACTGTTGCATTTGAACGGCGTCCCTTATGAGCCGCTGGTCGAAGTTATAACCATCTCGTACGATTAGAAAAGATCTGCGTCAATTAGAGAAAATTAAATATAATAGCCTTGGCCTAACGGCAACCGGTCGACCAGCCAATCAACGGTCTTTCGGTTGCTGCGTACGGCCCTGATCATACCAATTAGCCGATCATTGTCTGTGAAAGTCGAGCCATTGTTTTCTGCGTGTGTTTTCTGCCTTTTCGATATTAATTCGAAACAAGCGCAATTAACAGAAGGGTGGTAGCGGCTGCATTTCGCAGCAAATATCAACAAAATTTTGCCCTGGAGCGGGGAGAGAAGTAGAAACGAGGGTTCAGGATGGAGGAAACTATTAGATGTCACACACACACACACACACAAACACACACACACACACACACGCACACACACACACATATATATATATATATAAGGCATTATGGTGTTGCTATACCTTCATACGTCGAAAACATAGAAAGGACAGGATAGTACAGCATATATATATATATATATATATATATATATATATATATATATATATATATATATATATATATATAAAGATAGATAGATAGATAGAGATAGCGATTTACTATGAGTAGCTTAGATGTAACACAAGGCTGAAAGTATGGGACCCCTGTGAGGATCGATCTAACTATTCAGTCGTAAATGATCTAACGAGACAAACATTAACCATTACACCAAATCGAAGTGCTCTCTCCCTCTCTCTCCATATATATATATATATATATATATATATATATATATATATATATATATATATATATATATATATATATATATATACTGAATAGTGAGTTCGATCCTCACAGTGGCTCCATATTTTCCGCCTTGTGGCACATCTAAGCTATATTTGGAAAATCACTATATATATATTTATATATATATAAATTCATTAAAACGACTGGCAAAAGTACTGTGGTTAAGATTTTTTTATATATATATATATATATATATATATATATATATATATATATATGTATACACACACACACACACAAACACACACATACATATATATATATATATATATATATATATATATATATATAAAATCTCCGACCGACGACAATTCAGTCGGGTTTTGATCCTAGCTAGAGGCAACCGGACGTCTAGCCACACTGAAGATCTGTGATACAGCGAAACAGTCTGTCTGTGGATGACAATATATATAAGGAACTTTCTCATGGCTTCCGGCGTGAAATTGTCGAATGAGTAATTTCGGCTTTTATATGCTATTATAAACGAGTTTTTGTTTTTTATGTGCTATGTTAGCTTCATCCTTTTTCAAGTATCGCGTCTTTACGCGTGATGACGGTTTTGCAAATTGTCGTTTTTTTACGTGACGATACTTGTCGTCTCATTTTTCCAGTCATGGAATATATTGCTTGTTTTTCCTAACAAGTACATTTGATCATTAAACCTGCATTAATGAAATATCGGTGCCCAAACATTCCGGTTATAATTTGAATATACCGTCAACTGATATCACGTGATTGATATATGGTGGACTTTCCGTCGATTTCGACGTATGACTGTCCAACAGTTTATTTTTTTTATGTTAATAAAATACAGACACATAGAAAAATAGATAGATAGATAGATAGATATGAACAGTTTAAGGTAGATCGATCGATAGATAGATAGATAGATGTACATACGAAAGATGTTAAGCAAATGATAAGTTTAATTGAAAAATGGCTTTATTTAATTTCATCATTAACATGCTTGAACAGTGTATTTATAATTTTGTTCTATCTTATGGCATCTTTCAGGCAATTCATAATTGCACCCTCCCAGAATTTTACTTTTTTTATTTTGTCTCAACGAAATACCGCTGTAGATTTTCTTTCACATTCTTCTAAGCGACTGAATATTTCTTCTTCAGAAAATTATGTAAAAGTAGAATAAATTGCAACCCGAAGTTGCAATATCTGCGGAACAGTGTCCGTTAGTGGAAACTCAACCAAAACTATAATGATTTTTGCCTGGACACTAAACAAATACGGTCAGTCTAGTGATATCCTGGAATATTACGTTCTTTTTCTTAAATAATTCCTGACAGAAACATTTGGTATTAATGTCTTTCGGTTAGTTGTTTATAGCATTTACCTCCGATTTATTGTATTACCCATTGTTCTAAACTTCTTTTCACTGTACGTTAAGATTTCTTTAAAAAGGATTGCATTCATAGATTATCCAGTCGTATTTTTTTCAGCAATTTGGAGGTCACACATTAAAGCTACTAACATAACGTAGCTATTCCAAATGACTTGACTATTTGTACTGCGCCGTAATATAACGATGATTATTTTCAGACATATTGCTTTCTAAGCTGTTTTGCAACCAATGCACAAAGGAAATTTATCCACACACAAACGGTTAGCTACATAATGAAGTAATAATTATAGTTATAATTATAGTAACATATTATAATTTTCCTGGTTGAAAATAATCTTTTAGTTAATTGTTTCTGTTAACGAGTTAGTCGGCTTTTCAAATACTACATTTTCACATCACTAATTTCCTGTTCCGGTTCTCACAGTCTGGTAGACGCCATGTTTGCTGGACAATATTCATACAGTGAAGTTTTGTTTCAAATGCGAATACATTTTTTTATATTAAAATAAGCCAACATAGTTTTATTTGCCATAAGAGTTTGGTCACGTTAAAATTATTTGGAAACAATTTCAAGTTGATTGGTTGGGTGATTTGTTTTCTAGGGCTTATCAACCCTTAGATGTAACACAAGGCTGAAAGTATGGGAACCCCTAGATTTGTCAGTTTAAGAACACATCAACTCCTTATGGGTCATTTAATGCAGAAATTTAATTCCCTTGTGAGTTTTGAAGTAATAAAAATATATGTCATTCTGCTTTCACAATTGAATACATGGTAGATGATACTCAGCTTTTGTGCATATGCATTTTTGTGTAAAGATAATTACTAAAGGCGGTGATGTGTTTTATGTTTTAATTTTTTTGAAGTCATATTTTGAAATACAGTTTGATATAAGGATTTTATATAGATTAATGCCATTGAAAGAGTTCTTTCATGTTGATTGTTTGTTTGATTTTGTTTAGCGGCATATCAACCTCTATGGTTTATTTAATGCTGAAATCTAAATATTTTGAACGCAATGGTATGCCTTCATCTACAGATAAAATGTATTGTTGTTCTTTTTACTATAAATAGGTATGAGTAATTTTTTTTATTATAGAAAAATGTATTGCTGATATTTTACCATGAACTATAGATCTAGTAACTCTCAAACAAACGTGCGGTTTTATCTTTATTTTTTTTTTTTTGTATTCATTGACATTAACGTTTTCGAATAGGTTCCTTAGGTTTGTGTCATGAAATTTCCATGCTATCAGGAAATGAAAAGCTGGAGAAATATTTTACTTATTAGTATAGGATTTATGAGCGTTTCTTAAATTTAAAAAAAAAATTGAAAAATTAACAACGTTTTTACTTCCGTTTCTATATACTCGTTGCAAAATAACACCCTTTCATTTGCCTTGATAAAGTCCATAAGAGGACGAAATGCGTAGGCAAAGATAAATTTTCCTTTTTTCTTTATTCGCATATATATATATATATATATATATATATATATATATATATATATATATATATATATATATATATATATATATATATGCAAGTCTGAATATTTAAGTATTAACAAAATAATGTTAATGATTCTCACTGTTGCATTTGAACAGCGTCCCTTATGAGCCGCTGGTCGAAGTTATATCCATCTCGTACGATTAGAAAAGATCTGCGTCAATTAGAGAAAATTAGTGATTTAGCATATCAACCTCTATGGATTGTTTAATGCCGAAATCTGAATATTTTTAACGCAGTTTTATGCCTTCAACTACAGATTGTTTGTACATAATCTTATACTTTCAATGTAAAGATATGTTTTTAGACATATATTTTATAGATAATAAAATATCGTTTGTAAATTTTAAAAGGTACTGTTGATAATTTCACTACAAAAAATGCCTTGTTGGTAATTTTATTAAAAAATGTATTATTGATTTGCTTTTTTTGTTTTTTGCTGGGGCCCTAACAGGTGCTACCACCCATGGTCAGGATGGATCTGGGATCAACAGCAGTTAAGAGGTGATTCCATCATCCTCAGAACCTTTAATCTACCTATAAGAGGCCTTGCTGCCCGATGTAGTTCATCGCCATAAGCAGGACGGAACCATTAATTTCAAATTGACATCTGCACAAGTATTGTGATTTCCGATACTTCTCGTCATGGGAAATAAATTTTCATAAAATCAGATTTTTTGGAGACACTGATTACGAAAGACATTCATGGTATTTTTTTTTTAATTCTTTTTAAATGCCACTTCATTTGAAGATGTAGCCGATCTTCCGCTATGTGTCGTGTCTGTTCAGGACGTTGGAGATCATGACTCTCTACAATTTCCTTTCCTTTGTAGCTCTTACTAAATTTGTGTTTTTGTTTTGTAACCTAGAAAGGGTAACTGAATGAGGAATAACCAAAACGGAGGTTGGAAATGAAATGGTAATCTTTATAACATCAACAAAATACAACACTCGCTAGCGGTGTAAAGTAGGCAAACCACAGCTCATAGTGGACTTAATTAGACAACATATTATCCCCCCCCACACTTTCAATAGTGTCCAACGTATTTATGATGATTGGGATATACCCATTCGTGTTCATATGTACAGTATATATCTATCTATCTATCTATCTATCTATCTATCTATCTATCTATCTATCTATCTATCTATCTATCTATCTATCTATTCCAGTCTTTTCATTATCTATGTATCTATCTGTTGTAAGCGAGGAAGAATTACTGACTGAAGAATAACCAAAACACAGATTAAAAATGGTAATCTTTATAACATCAACAAAATACAATACTCGCCAGCGGCGTGAAGTAGGTAAACCACTGCTAGTCATGGACTATTTAGACGGCATATTACCCCCACTTACAATAGTGTCCTATGTATTTATGAGGATTGGGATATACCCATTAGTGTTCATTGGTACGGTATATAACATTTTGTTATCTCTCTGCCAACAATTTATTCAAGCCTATTAGCTAGTTTACACACTGTTTTACTCCGATCCTATTGTTTTCAATATATCTTATAAGTGTCAAATTTTCCAAGCAACCTTTTCTCATTATAAACCCTATAAATTAAAATTGTCTCTTTCTGATTCTAAGAATCAGTTTCCTTTTTGTTTTCATTTTCTCTAAAATTCCGTCGTTACTCACGTGTTTGTTCCATGGTATTCTCAGTATCCTTCTGTAGAACCGCATTTCTACCGCCTCAGATATCTTCTTCATCCTTGCAAAGATTGCTCAGCATTCACTGTCATATAGGAGGACTGATATTACATAACAGTTGAGTACTCGTTTGTTTGTTTCTAACGACATTTTTCTGTTTCTTAATATTTTGCTTAGCTTTTGGAAGGCATCTTTCGCTACCCCAATGCGCTTTCGGATTTCGGTGTCGCACTTTCCAAATTCAGTGTAATACTTCTAGACTGTTCAACATCCTAGACTAGAGAGCTCAGTCTATCCTGTTATTTAACCCATAGCTAGGGGAGAAGAGATGTATTCGTGTCTTTCCCAAAGTTATTAGCGCGAAAGTGAACGCATTTATCTAGGCGACAATTGGACCTCAGAAATGGGAAAGTTAAATTCGATCTCTGAGTTCACTAGAGGCCATTCGAGGTAGAATTAATTCGTAGCCTTTATAATCTGTACTGCAGGTAAACAATGACATTCTTGAAGGTAAATTGCTAAGTGCTGTGTCTTGGTCAGAAAATAGAGACCAATTAGGTGGTGATTGGAGTTCACCAAAGGTCAACTTTAAATTAAGACAATAGAATTTGGAAGGCTAAAATTTTATATTTTTCTTTTTTGCTTGGTTTTAAAAATCTTTTTTAAAGAAAATGACTCCAAACTCCAAAAAGTGGTGCCAGTGGCTCTGTTAGGTATCTTTGTTTCAAGGAATGATTTAATCGATAAATAAATTCAAGGATATGTCAACAAACACCTGTAGATGGTCAGCTGTAGAAACCAATTGACCCTGTTCCTTATAATTCTGAGCCTATTCAGGAACTGATTCATTCAAATCCTGTGAGATGATTGGGGACTCCTCTGAAACTTTGCGACTCTTATTATGTGCCGCTGGAATTTCGAACCCTCCAAATTGAAAACTCCAATGAAACAAACTTAACTTGTAAGCAGTGGCAACCATATATAATTGCAATCATTATGTTTGTTGGCATCAAAGGACGTGTCTATAATTCCAAAAGACTTGCTCTTTGAATGCAAGCGAATTCACTTCCCAGAAACATGTAGCTATGTCATGACCATCAAAATGTTACAAGAGCAATCTGTAAGGATCGAAGGTTAAAATCTCTGTGTTTTTTCCCCTCTGGGCAACACTATGCCTTTACTGTCATTATGTTAGATCCACAGGCAGGGTTTTCAGATATGCCAGTTGCGTAATGTGGAATTAACGATCCGAGTTCGAATTGCCGCCTATTCAGTTGTGTTCACTTTAGCAATAATACAATTGACAAAGGCATGAATCCATCTCTTCCCTTTCCAGTAATGTGTTAAATAGCAGGTTTCCTTGCTCATTTGGTTCTCTAGCTTTGCGTGATAACCAGTCTATAAGGAGTGCTAAACTGAATTGAAAGCCATCAGGTAAGGCAATAGGAAAGCACTTCAATACCTCGGCTAATAATTCTAACATGCTCTTCAAATTGAAGCCAATTCTCTTCTCAAGAAGCTAAGCTGTGCCATAGCCATTAACAAATCTCTCAAGATCGCTGGCCTTATATAAATGATGTTGATAATATTTATTTTCTTTTATTACGTAATGTAAGAAGAAATATGTTAAAGAACTTTGTTTTCTGCTGGGCAACGATGGGTATTATTCTCGTTGTACACACACACACGCATATTATTTATTAAACAATTATAACATAAACATGTCATAAATTCTGGTGTCTTATCAAGTGATGGTATTGAATGTTATAATTTTTTAATAAATAATATTTAGTCTACTCTGTATTGAGCACTCATTTAAGAATAGTATTTTTGGTTATTGGAATTTATTCCGTCTACAATCCTATACTTGGGTATATATATATATATATATATATATATATATATATATATATATATATATATATATATATATATATATAAAAGGTGTTTCATTAAGACGGATCAAAGTCAGCAGTAAATAAATCAGTGTTATAGGTGAAAATTTATTCATTTCTATATTGGATCATGTTATTTAAGTCATGGCAATTATGTGTGAAAAATAATATCGCCGAAATGTCCGCCAAATCTGAAAGAAAAAGATAAAAATCATTAGACGCATAAACTTAATTCACATTAAAATATGTCCAAGTTATTGGCTCACTCTTTATATACAATAGATAATATATTAGTTAGATGAAATTAAATTTTCACTTAATTTATCCTTAATAATTAATCATTAATTAATGGTCATCGTCGTCGGTACCCGCTCGCATCTGAACACCGGGATCGTCACCCTCTCTTCCTATTCACTTTCTCCTACTTGGTGGAGGTGGCGGAGATGGCTTTGAATCAAAGAGTTTGACGAGGCCACCGGCATGAGTTTGATTTTGGTGGGCAACTCTGCGCGACTGAGATGACCCCACACTTGGCCAGAAGCGCCTCCCTCGCGGCTCAAAGGGGATTGAGGCAGGCGAGATCTGACAAACCTGGTTGCATCAGGAGGTCGGATGCTTGGCCTGTCAAGGTCCACCCTGGTCACATTAGCCTGACTGTCCGTACCCTCTTTCTTTGCTCATTGAGATCGTGTAGATCTTTGCCTATTTTGCCGTCGGGGTGCGTTGGGCGTTGGTCGCATTCAGCCCAATATTATTTGTATTAATGCTTTATCTCTTTATATCGAGAACTAAAAATCTAATTACTGCCCTTAAAAATAGCACAAGGTAATTGAATAGAAATATATTGGTCGACCGATTTTTGTTTGTGCTATTCTTATATATATTGTTGTTATTATTGTTGTCACATACACACACCCACACACAGGCACGCACACACACACATATTGTGTGTTTTTTCACCAGACACATTTATAATTGTATATATGTAACTGGAAAGAGAATTGGAGGAAAGGAATAGACAAAATAATCACGTATCACAAGTGTACAGACACATTCTCGATCTCACACACACAACATACACACAGCATACACATAACATACAAACACACACACACACACACACACACACACACTCTCTCTCTCTCTCTGTCTTACAGGCACACACAGCCTCACTTACACACACACAAACACACACACACACTCTCTCTGTCTCACAGGCACACACAGCCTCACTTACACACACACACACACACACACACACACACACACACACACACACACACACACATACATATATATATATATATATATATATATATATATATACGTGTCTCCATGAATGTATATATGTGGCTTTAACAAAAACATAATCTACTAGAGTATAATACACTTACCTGTGTTTGGTGCGCTTGAACGAGATTATTTATAAAGCATTGTTGGAACTGAGACGAACTATTAATGTGTAACGCTACAATGAGCAATTGGCTCGTTTGAATGACTCATTAGAAACGAAAAAAACACTTTTTAGGATAAGGAAGTCGATCACTGATTTTGTTGCATGACGACACTCATTGTATAATACGAGCGTGAGATATCTGTCTGTGTGTCTGTTGTCAGATTTTCGCCGTGAGAAAACCCATAAAATCGTATCTATTCTGGATCAACGTTATGCGTAGAATGTTTTTCTGCATTTATCTGGACCTGCACATGCACATAGGCGAAGTACCTTTTCCAACTCTAGTCCTCCATAACGACGACAAATCCAGCAGTCACCGTTTTCAGGAAGCTTTTTTCCCCCGGGTTTCAGCTGAAAAACCCAAACTGATGTGCAACAAAAAGAAACAAAATAGTAAAGTAACATTATTGAAACGAAGTGCTAAAACACTGAAAAAAGGTCTGCCGAGCAAAGTATAAAAAAAGGGAACTCAAGCTGGTGAAAATTTGCATCTTCTCAAGCTAACGTTCTTGGCTGAAATGAAGTGGAAAGATTATATTGAATCTATTGCTAGGTCAGAGTTGGTTCACTGTGTCGTACTACACAATTTTTCTCTTCTGACTCTATCTTACATATTTATAAATCTATCATTCGTCCATGGTTAGAATATTGCTGTCACATGTTTGGTTCTCCCGCAATATATCTAGAGATCCTTGATAAAAATCCAAAGTATCTGCAATATTAGTGGTCCTAATCTGGCATCTCGGGTTCAGTCACTTTCCCACCGCCCTAAGGTTGCCTCCCTCTGCCTTTTCTTACGTTCCTGGAAACTATTCGGATGAGCTCTTCGCTATGGTACCTAGACTTTATAGATTTAAGCGCAGTACTAGCCTGGCGACGAAATCTCACCAAGCTGGCTAGATGTAACCGTAACTTCTATGCTAAAGGTTTCTTTTCTCGCACTTCGTGCTTGTGGAACTCGTCCGCTTCAATGTTTTCCAGCCAATTTTAATCTTCAAAAATTTAAATTCAATGCCAATGGCTATCCACTGTCCTCCAGATTACTTTTGTTTTGTTCTTGCTCCTAAATATGTTTTCTAATTCTTCCAAACCCAATAACACCTTGTGTCCTAGTGGCTTTACAAAGATAAAATATGTAAAAAGAACAGAAATTGCCTAAAAATTCGACGTTTAGTATTAACGTTTATCGGACTTAATCGAGCAAAGCAAATGGACGTCTTATAATT